ATGTGGCCATAGTGGAATTCAACAGATTGTGTAATGGATCATAGGAAATTGATGGCAAGTGGATGAGGAATGTGAGAAGTTCAATATCAAGATGCCACCATCTAGGAAGGGCCCTCTGGCTGGCTTATGCCATGGCAGAAGGCATCATATGGCAGAACAGAGGAGGAATCCAGGAAAAAGAAGTGGAGCTGACCTTGCCAGAAGGCTGAACAGGTCGTGCCCTGGGACAGCAGGAGCCAATCACAGTTCAGGAAGTGGGGAGGACTGCAGGCCAGTGAGTGTCCTGAGACTTTAAAACCTGGTCTCAGGGCCAGGTGCTTTTAGGACAGCTGTCTTTGGAGAGTTGCACTGCAGAGGGCTCCTGCACAGCTTCAGGTTCAGGTGAGCATGCAGCCCACAGAGGCGTGGTGGGAACAGGAATAGAAGTCCTTTCAGAGGCAAGGGCACAAAGCAGATCAACTTCCATTTCTGCCTCAACATGGACACTGGGGGCATGCTGAGAAGGGTGGTGGGGATGGCATAAGGCGGTGGAGTGAAACCCAAATGTTGTATTCCATCAGCCAGAAGATCTCAGGTCATGCAGTTTGGTCAGACTCAGGATCTTCCAGGTTGCATAAGGCAGCTGGATGCCTGCAAACTGCACTGTAATGCTCTCCCATTCTTGAAGTATCAGTCAATATGCTCTTGTGCATCATTACCAGGTAACGTGCAGTGGGCAGAAACATGGGCTGATCCAAACCTTGGAGTTCTAGCTTGCACTCTGTGCAGTGCATGAACAAGTTCATGAATATGACAGCAGGTTGAGATATTGGAAGCTGATGTGTAAAAGTGAGAATGTGGGTTTTTGTCTTCCTAGTTTGTCTAGGAAGGGTATTCCAGAGGGTTTCACCCAAGAAGGGGAGAAGGACGTACAAAACTCATCCATTTTCTACTCTGCATTGGCTAAGGAGATGTCAGTGGACTCCGAGCTTTGGGGGATATCATTGCTCCTAGCTGAGATCAGATATCCCATTGGATGAGATTTTAGCTGGAATCCTAAAATTTAATCCAACCACTAATCTTGCACACTTTGCTTCAACTCCAAGAGCTCTGGGCAGGTTAATGTTCATGTCCATTGCTTGACCACATAACTCTACTTTGATGTTTTAAACCAAGTATATCCTTAAGCCTTAACACAACTTGGACAAATATTGGAAAATCTTATTTTAATATCTAAATGGTCATGGTGGCATTAATTCTTTTCTAGCTAAGACTAAGCAGACTGCTGACATGCATGAGTCACTGGAAATCCCAGCTTCATTTCCCTTTCTAGGCTTTCCAATATGGATCCTTCTCTGTTGCTGGCCATCCTTTGCTTGGGAATGGCCTCAGCTGCTCCAGTATTGGATCCCAGTTTGGATGCACAGTGGACAAAGTGGAAGACAGAATACGGCAAAAGCTACCATTCGGTGGGTACTATGGAAAGTCTTCTGAAGGACGCCACAGAGGAGATCCTAGCTGATTTAACTTTATCCAAGCCAGGTCTCCAAGGCAGTCAGCTAATACCAGTCATATAAGCAGGATGTGGGCAGATAGCCTGCTCTTCTCTGACTCCAGAGAACAGCTTCCCCAAATGCACAACATCCTGGACAGAGTCTCTCTCCATCATTGTCAGCAGTTCCGTTCAGTGAACTGGGGTTGGGTTTAAGTAGACAGAGCACTCATCCCTTGAGCCTATTCCTAGGATGAAGAGGGATGGAGGAGAGCAATATGGGAGGAGAACTGGAAAATGATTGAAGTGCACAATGAGGAAGAGCGCCAAGGGAAACATACATACACCCTGGAAATGAACGCCTTTGGAGACATGGTAAGTGTCTTGTGCGTTGCTTACAAAGGAGCTTGCTCTCCTTACTTCCTCACAAAATGACCCTGCTTTTGAACTATCTTCTTTACTCTTTCCTGAAGACTGATGAAGAATTGCAGCAGGGGGAAACTGAGTTTCAGCCTGTTAGGCTCAATGAGGAGGAACAAATATATCCAGATCTTCTATTTGGTGATCTGCCTGCCTTTGTGGACTGGAGAGAGAAAGGCTATGTGACCCATGTGAAGGATCAGGTATGACAGTGTCACTGTGGACCCTTTCACTGCCCATAGCAAAGCCAGGAGTAGTTGTCATTCCTTTGGCAGACTCTGCAGGAAAGGGCGCTGTCCTGGAGTTCGTGGTTCTTTTGGAAGCCTGTTCACACACAGGAGTGATGTCCATGTCTTGCTATTTGCTTTGTGTATGAGAGACTTTTCTTCTCTTATCAGGGTCAATGTAATTCGTGTTGGGCTTTTTGTGCAAATGGTGCACTAGAAGGACAGATGTTCAAGAAAACGGGCAAACTGGTCTCCCTCAGTGAGCAGAACCTAGTGGACTGTTCTCGTCCCCAAAACTTCGGCTGCAGTGGTGGCCTACCAAATTTTGCTTATCAATATGTTAAGAATAATGGAGGCCTGGACTCAGAGGAATCCTACCCCTATGAAGTAAAGGTAATTGCAGCTCTGTACCTTGTTGTCACTCCTGCCTGCATTGCAGACAGTGGACCAACTTCAGAGATAAGCCTTGCTCTTCCCAATTCACACTTCAGATGATAGGATCTTTTTCTGTCAACTCTCTGTTTCTGTCACTGTCATCATTAGCTGGGTCAGAGTTCTATGGACTGGAGAACATAGATGGGTAACAATCCGGTGATTTTTTTATTGCTGTGTGACACAGTGTATATGTATGCTATTCTGTAGCCAAGGATCTGTCCATGGTGAATACCTGGTATGAAGAGATAGAGGTAGTCTGATTGGTTCAACAGACCAGAGAAGATTTTTCCGTTTCAAATCAGCTAGGAATAGAATTACACCTTCTGGGTTCCAACAGTGCTGACTTAGAAACCTTAAGTTGCAAAGTGACACTTCAGAGCTGGATGGCTCTAATCACGTCTGTTCCCTCTTTCCCTTCAAAGGATGGACCCTGCAGATACAAACCTGAGAATTCTTCTGCTAATGTCACTGGATACGTTATGCTACCTCGCAGTGAGCAGGCCCTTATGAGGGCTGTGGCCACGGTGGGTCCCATCGCTACTGGGTTTCATGGGTCCCATTCATCCTTCAAGTACTATAAAGGAGGTAAGTGTGTTCTTTGTAGAAATAAATGCAGGACAAATGACAAAAGAGTCCTAACCCTTGACTGATTCTTTGGTATGCAAGGGTCAGGGAACATAGATATTTTGGTGTAGGAATGGCACGTGGTTTTTCAATATGTACATACAATTCTTTTGGACTTTATTTTCCCTTTGGATATTATTATTTTTATTATTATTTTGTGTGGGGTACGGTCATGGGGCCTGAACTCTGGGTCTGGGCACTGTCCCTCAGCTCTTCAGCTCAAGGCTAGCACTCTACCACTTGAGCCACAGCGCCACTACTGGCTTTTTTCTTGTTGCTTATGTGGTGCTGAGGAATCCAACACAGGGCCTCAGGCATGCAAGGCACGCGCTCTACCACTGAGCCACCTTCTCAACCCCCCATTAGATATTTTTTCAAGCCTGTCTCCATATCCCTATTTAAATTTGTCTAAGTATTTGCATCATCAAGTATGGGTAGTACAATTGACATTTTATTCAATTATGGAATATTTATAAATGGCCCAAGATTTTAATAGTTTATATTTTTTCTGTTCACATATTCATTGATTTCTGTCAATGCTGGAAGTTGAACACAGGCTCTGTGCTTTAGCCTGGCTTTTTTCACTCAAAGCTGATAGTGTCCTATTTAAGACCCTCTTCCTCATTGAGCTTTGTGATGGTTAATTAGAGATGAGTCTCATGGAATTTCCTGACCATTATTGCTTGGTACTGCAAGTCTGTGATCTCAGCATCCTGGTAGTATTATAGATAGGAACCACTGCACCTGGAAAACCTTCCTTGGTTCAAGGCATTTTGAATTTTATGCAGTGTCCTTGAAATAAAATGCCCAGATTTCACACACTGGTCTCCTCCCCTATTAGACAAGCCTTTTTAACAAGGGATATATGCTAATATGTATTTGTCACTTTTCAGCCTAATTCTCTAGTTTTGATCATGTAGTTCTGAAGGCTTACCAGGACTTTACATAATTTTGGCGAATGTAAAAATACCTTCCTTATTGTTCCTCAGAGTGGGGTGCTGTCAGGTTCCTGGAGCATCCTGTGTGGTTTGGTTTTCTTTTTTAGGTATTCATTATAATCCAACCTGCCCCAAGACCCTGACTCATTGCGTTGTGGTGGTTGGCTATGGATATGAAGGAGAAGAGGAAACAGAAAACAACAAATACTGGCTGATCAAGAACAGGTAAGTAGTGGCCAAAATATTTAGCTTTCCAGGTTCATGACTGTAATCCTTTTAAACACAAGGCTGAGCTCTGAGGTTCAAGGTTCAGAGCCAGCCAGGCAGGACTGTCCATGAGACCCTTATCTTCAGTTAACCACCAAAAGATCAGAAGTGATACTGTGGCTCAAGGGGTAGAGGACCATCCTTGAGCAAAAAGAACAGCACCCAGGTTCTGAGTTCAAGTTCTAGCACAATCGTAAAAATAAAAAAAAGAAGGAAGCAAGCAAGCAGGCAAGGAGGCAGGCAAGCAAGCAAGGAAACAAGCAAACGAGGAAAAAAGAAAGTTGGGAAGTGAGGGAGGGAGCAATAAATTGCCTAACCTACTTGTAGTAAAAAGTCCAAAGAGAATTCATGGTGGCCAGTCAGTATTGGTATACAGGCTCTTCAAATTTTTATTCTACTGACCTATGAATGTGGGACTAAGAACTAGATTCTAACATCAGCTCTCTAGGGACAAACTTTAATATGGTATTTATTCCCATTTCCTGTTCATTCTGAAAGTTTTAAAACAGAATGTCCTTTCTCTCTCTACTTAATATTTTATTTACCTTTTGTTGGTCATGGGGCTGGAACTCTGGGCCTGCACACTGTCCATTAGGTCTTCAGCAAATGGCTAATGCTCCTCCACTTGAGCGACAATGCTACATATGGTTTTCTGAGTTGTTTTTTTTTTTTGAGATAAGAGTCTCCCAGTCTTTCCTGCCTGGCTGTCTTTGAACTGGGACCCTCAGATCTCAGCCTCCTGAGTAGCTAGGATTAGAGGTGTGATCATCAGGACCATCTACCTCTACTTTTGTAATCCTGTGTGAACTCATTACATTGGACAAGGACAAGAGGTTATGAGCAGATTTAGATCAAGGAAGGGTGAAGGACATTGGCCCATCTCAATTCTCTCTGCTGACTGTGTTGAGTTTATCACGGTTTTGATTGCATGTGACTGTTCCTAAAGCCCTTGCAGTTTATGTTATGTATTAAAACTAACACTTGCTCTTCTTCAGCTATGGAGCAGACTGGGGCATAAACGGCTATGCAAAGGTGGCCCGAGGCCGAAACAACCACTGTGGAATTGCCTCCTTTTCCCTCTATCCCACTGTGTGAGATATTGGATGGAGATAAGTCTGGGACAGCCTTCTCTGAAGGGGGCCTTGTCTTCACTGCGACCCCATCCTACTATGTAGGACCAAATCCTTGATGATCCAAGTTGTGATGTAAATTTTAAGATCTTTTTCTACTTGTAAGATGATTCCACGAGTGTGATTGCTACCATAAATGGATGCATATTACTGATTCACTTATTAATTTGTTGACAAAAATGGTGATTTGTTTTAAGTTTATTGTTTTATTTCATTGTGTTATATCTGTGTGTAATCAAGATTGCAATTAGGTCTCTCTGAAACACAGATAGGAAGAGACTAATCATCCACTAGGAGAAGTGGATGGTCTGGTCTTCCAGTCATGCAGATCTCTGGAATCAGCTTCCCAGGGCTGTGTCTAAAGCAATAATTGACTGGAGTCAAATAAGACAAATATTGATAAAGGAAAATAGTTTTAATAAAGAAAAAAGATCACAAAAGAAATGAGAAGTGTGCCTTATTTTACTACTACAAAATGATCTGAGGAAATACATGCATTACATTCAAGACGGAGACAGTCCAGTTGAGGTATGGCACCAAAGACTCTGAGCTAGCCCCTAGACCATCTTCTCCAACTACTGGTAAAGACCTCTGGCCATCTTTCAGTGAACAAAACTAGGACACTGGTAGATTGCCCGTGTGAAATAGGACACAAGGAAATTAAAAGAAAAAGACCTAGTTTTGAGACTTGTTGGGAAAAATAGTTCCAGACGTTGGGAGGTGAATCCTAGAGGGAAAATCCTAAGTGAGAACAAGAGCTTCCTTAGGACCAAGCTAGATACAATCCTTAATTTATGAAAAAGTTACACAGAAATGACTCCCAGACATTATTAGTATACAATAAGGAGGTTCATCATCCATGTGTTTTTAAAAGCCTTAAGTGTCCCAGATAAGCATAAAGGAAGGCTAGAAGTAGTTAGTGAAATAATTTCATCCTCCCTGAGGGGATAGTAAGGTAGAAAACTGGACCCAGCCCACAGAGCCTACAGCACACTCCATCCACATCCCTCCAGACTGGGCGCTATGTGGTGTTCAATTCTCTTTTGGCTTTCCCTACTTCTTGAGATACTGTTTGTTTTTTAACAAAAGGACAAATTTCACACCAGAAGTGAAGCTCCTTGGGTTTTGAATACCAGTAGGCTGTGTGGTAGGGATACTTGTGAGACTCACCCTGCCTCTGCAGGATGGGACCCAGATCTGATAGAACTGAAATGTGCATAGCACCCACTGAGTACCAGCCATCACCACTGTGGAACACAGTCCTGACTTCAGTGGGCAGGTGCTGCTCTACTCAGGGCATGAGGTGGGAGGAAGGAATCAGCCAGAATAGCGGTCAGTGGGAATAAAAGACGTGAGCATCTTAGCAGAGACCAGAGGTCAAAACCCTTGAGACAAGATGTGTGGTTAGAGCCCTTGAGGAAGATACAGGGTTGAGATGTGGAGGATGATACTGGTGATGGGTGGGTTTGGGACAGAGAGGCACCACTGTGGCATGGAGTAGAAGAATATTCCAGGCAGTCTCTTCTAGGAAAACAATGACCTAAAACCCAGCAGCCTGAAAAATAACAATGTCCCCCTTTTCTGGCTACACTCAACTTCCTAGTTAGTCATTTAGAGTTCTTTCTTCATGCTGGAAAAACCTGGAGGTTATGCTGGGCTAGATATCCATAACATTTATTCATTGAGTAGTTGAATAAACTGAGAAAACAACCCACATCATTACGTAGATGACAAGCAAAGAGGAATTGGAAAGGACTCACTGATTCCTCCTTATGTTTCCTCCAGCTGTAATTGCCCAGAGCAAGGAAGTAGCTGATTTTGAAGAACTTCCAAAAACAGTAAGTTAAAAAGTAGCAACTTGCCCATGTGCCAGTGGCTCACACTTGTAATGCTGACTAGAAAGGATGCTGAAATCTTAGGCTCACAGCTCAAAGCCAGCTTGAAGAGGAAGTTCCTGAGAATGTAAAGTATAACCACCAAGAAGACAGGGGTAGAGCTGTGGCTCAAATTGTAAAGCACTAGCCTTGTGTGGAAAAGCTAAAGGAGAGTTTGCAGGCCGTGAGGTGATGACCCAGTTACCAGCACAACCACCAATATGTATATACACATGAGTTTGTGTATATATGGACAAAGACCCATTCTAAATAGAAGACAGGCAGAAAGGTTGCTCTGTCCTTTTCAGGGTTTCCTAGGACGGAGATAAACTGTTGAATCTTACTACATTGCAGATTTGAATGACTGGTAAGCTCTAGGCAATAAACACCATCAATATAGAGGGTTTTTTTGTTGTTGTTGGTCAGGGGCTAGAGCTCTGGGCCTGGGCACTGCCCCTCAGCTCTTCAGCTCAAGGCTAGAGCTCTACCATTTGAGCCACAGTGCCACTTCCGGTTTTTCTGCATATATGGTACTGAGAAATGGAACCCAGGGCCCCATACATGCAAGGCAAGCACTCTACCACTGAGCCATCTTCCCAGACCCAATATAGAGTTTTTTACAATCCACTGCAGGATTAATATGCCTTTGTTAAAAAGTAGTTTCTCAAGTATACATATAGTTCAAATGAAAAATCAGCATGTGACTGTTTACACCAGTGCTTTCTTGTCTCATTAAATTCTCAACACAATTCTGTGTGGCCACTGGTGTTATCCACTTTTTATACTAGATATGATCAACATTTAGGGATGGTATATTATTTCCCTAAATTCATGCCTAATAAATGTAATGAAAATGATTTACAGTTGAAAACCATATAATCAAGTAGAATTGGGTCAAGCTGCCTGGACATGCACTGCTTAACTAATGGCAATTTTTAAATTCATTACATATAAATGTAGACATGAGTATAGAGCATAAAATTTATTTAAGTAGAAGCTTCTTGATGTTGGGTAACTTGGGTTATCAATGTTTAGAATTTTCAGTAAACATGTTCTTATTTAACAACTCTAACAAACATCAGTTAAATTAACAAAGGAAGCAGAAAAAGCATACATATTCTCACCGCTCTGACAATCCACATTGAATAATGAAAAGATCAAACTGAAATAAGAATTCAGACAAGTCTCCAATGACCTTCTTCTCATCCATGATGTGGCTGAAAATTAAAGTGAAAACAGGACAGTTTAGCTACTGTAGAAATAGTCTGGCAGTTTCCAGAAAGTTACGCATATGATTAGTATCATGGGTATTCAAAGGGAAATGAAAAAGTACTTTCCTGCAAGTCTGTTCACAAATGTTGGTTGCATTGTCACAGTAGTGAAGAGAGTGGGAACAAACAGTTGTGCAGAAGTCACTCTGTGCCCATTTTACATGTGAGGTTGGTCAAGGCAGAGAGGAATGCAGAGGTAAGCCTGGTAAGTGTTGGGGGCAGGGGGCACATGTAATTCTAGCTGTAATTCTAGCTACCAAGGAGTCTGAGATCTGAGGGATCATGTTTCGAAGCCAGCTGGTTGAGGAAAGTCTGTGAGATTTTTTAATCTTTAGCAACCAGCAAGCTAGAAGAGGATCTGTAACTCAAGTGGTAGAGTGCCATCCTGTAACATGGCCAAACCCTGAGTTTCAGCACTAGTTCTGGGGCACAAAATCAGAAGAGGGATGAGTGTCAAATCCCTTCTAAAACTCAGAAATAACTGTAGTGTAATCCAGCAAATGGGGTTTAGTAGAGGAAGCTCAGATTTTGCACTTTTCTTCTCTATACAGCTCTATTCACCATCTACTTTATGCCAGCAGAAATGGAATGCAATATTCAGGACACTGAGGTAAAACCTCAAGGCTCCTAGGGCCTACCATCAAGACTTTGGTGCAGATGTGGGTTCACCTATTGACCTGCTGGAAAGGAAAAGCAGGCGTATAGTTGTTAGTCCCAGGGCAATAATGACAGGCCCAAGCTTCTATCATCTAGCTACTTGGAAGGTAGAGATCGTGGTATCAAAATTCAAGACTAGCCCAAGCATACAAGTTAGACAGACTACTTATTGATGGCTGGGCAAGGTGGCAGGTCCTTGTTATCTTCCTATGATACTGGGAAGAAAATAGGAGGAGGGAAATTCATGCCAGCCTGGCATAAAGCAAGGAACCAAGGCCAAGAGGTGGCTGGAGGCATGGCTCAGGGCCCTGAATTTAATTCCCAGCACAACAAAAACCATGAAATAAAGCAATGACATGAGCTATATAATGACACTTGTCAAAGCACAGCTGGGAATATGTGTTTAAAGGCTTTGGGACAGGTATTCCTGTGTTACTACTGTATTGTGTTCCTGCAGGAAGGGATAGAGATTTGCCTCAACCCCTAAAGCAGCATGGGCAAGATCTAGTGGGAATTCATTTCCACTCAACAGCAAAGGGTCAGGAGGGAAACACCTCAAGGAAAAAGAATAGTGGGTGATTTTGTCTCAACAGTCCTGTCACAATTCTTGATAATGACTGGGCAGAGTGTTCAGACATCACAGGTGCATGGTGGAAGAGGAATCTGATCAGATATGAAGAACAGGATCATTTTGTCAGGTGCAGTGGGTTAAACCTGTAAGACAAACTAATCTGAAAGAGAATAGTTGGATGCTAGCACAGGGAAGAAAGAGGAAGGACACTAGTTGAAAAATAACCAGAGCAAACCAATTTGACAGTGTGACTCACGTGGTTGCAGGAATTGTTTAGACAAAAAGAATATAAGAAGGAAAGAAAATGAAAGATGAAAGAATGAAATGATGAAAGACAGAGAGAAAGAAAGAAAACCAGGATTCTTTCCTAGAACTAGAAGAATGTAGACAGGACTAAAAGATGATCCATGAATGTGATCAGAGTTTGTGCATGCAGGTAAGCTTCCTCACAATGTGAAGGGACATTCTGTAGATAGGACTGGGACACCATAGCTTTCTGCCTCCAGCACTGAAGATGCCACTTGCCCTGTGCCTCATGACTGAGTCCTCCCTTGGTGATTTTTAGGAGCCAAGAGCTCAGCCCCTTGCTAGA